GTTCTTTAGGAAAAAGTAAAGATGAATTCAATCGTCACATAGGCCTTCAGTAAAATATGCCAAATTAAAGTCTGATAAAAAATCACTAAATTCACAGAATACTGATGTAGGAGAGATTAGAATCATTGAGAACAAGTCTATTCAAATATTTTTCAATATTTCTCTCTTTCACTTTGTATTTATTATCACTACTGTGCTGAAATTTTCAAGTTTCAGACTTGTAACAAAGAACAGATGGATGACAATGCAAATGTAATCTTGAGAATGGAGTTAGATAAAAATGATGACCAAATTTGGAAAACTTAGATCTGGAGGCTCCAATTAACTATATATCAACTTCTTTCTGGACTGGAAGTCACATGATTTCAATTAAAAATTTTACCTTACTATATAGTGCAATACATTTGGTATATAATTGATTGTTATGTAAACTGAGATCAGTAACATTCAACCCAAGGTATACAATATATTTACATCTCACTCTCACATTTTCTATGATAAATGTTACTTGAAAACTATCATCATCATAGAAAAAAGTATTCACAGTTTCAGATTCAGCAACAGAAGTTAGATTTATTTAAATTAAGATATAATTATCTAAATGCTGGAATGTAATTTTTAATGTAAGTAAAAAAAATTGACATGTTCCATCTTTTTGAAAACATGGTATGAATCAAAATATTTCATATAGCCATACAAAATATATATAGTCTTATTATAGCCATTTATGTTAGTATTCTAAAAGTATTATCTTACAATACTAACATAAATAGTCAAATTCAACATAAAAAGTCAAATTTCTAACAACTAAGTTTAAAAATTTTCCTTAAGTAATTGATTTTGACCTATGCAGATATCAAATATATCTGCATAGGTAATATCTAGAAATTTATATATATATATTTATTATATAATTGTAAATTTCATGTCTTAATCATTAAGTTGTTAAGATATGATTTCTTGGTCTGTCAAAAGAAGACAATTCCCTATAAGGCTACTATATATATATATATTTAAAAATGCATAGGATTTTTAAATATACATATTCAACAAGAATATTTTAATTTGAATTTCAAATAAATAGTTATAACTACATAATTATTTAAAAAATTTTTATATTTATAAAAATAACATCAAGAAAATATGAATATAGAGGTCCAATAAAAACATCTACAAATTTTTTTCTTGGTTTAAAGGCAGAATGTTTAATACAAAAACCATTTTATTTTTAGATCATCACAAGGTCAAATGTTAATATTTAAGATATAGTCAGTGTTAATTGCATATTGAGTCACATTTATGTTAATATTTATAGTTTGCAAGAATAATAATAATAGATAAAACTTAATCAGAACTAACAACATATGAAAAACAAAATTTCAGAAATTATTTCAAAATTTTTGATAGCATATAATCTAAAATATTTTAAAAAATTAATTTATACAAGTATAACACAGAAATTAGTGAATAACTTTCTGTACACAAACACCTTTCATTGAAATAATTACAATTTTTCCTCATTAAATATATATTTTTTAAATATAGGAATATCATCTGTACTCAGCATAAAACGAATTTTTTTTAATAACATAAATGTTCATTAATTTGCAGTCTTTATGCATATTTTATAAAAGTAATTAATATAAAATTCCAAAAACTATGAACATTCAATTACTAAGAACATTTAAAATATTTAGGCAATAAAATTTTACAATTTCCTCACAGTAAAAATGTAAAAATTTATTATTTATTTTAATATGTTGAATTTCATTTATTCTAAATACAGAAATATTAAAAAAAATCAGTTGTTAAAAATCTGATATCATCAGTTAGGAAATTTAATTTTTAGAATTTAAAATTTGGATTGTTTGAAATAAAAAGGATGAGTAATAAACGAAGAATTTTTATTAATAGTGAATTGTCAATTGTTTTGCAAACCTGTTTGATACTAATGAAATATTAGAAATTTACTTAAATTTGTAACAAACTAAATTGAAAATATGTAGATAATATACAAGAATTTAAGATCTCCCAAAATTCAAAATTTACAGATAAATTTTTTTCATTAACATATTAAAATCCTCTCTTGAAAAGCTAAATTATTTATTCTATTAGTTTTCAACGGTGAGAAAAATATTTGCAACATAAAAGACAATTATTTCATATATAGTCTCAACAGCAGAAGAACACTGAATTTACTTGATAATTACTAATCTGAAACAATCAACAAAAACATTCATCTTTCATATTCCTTATCAACAGTTTTATTTTTCTGAGGAGTTTTAGTTAAAATAGATTTACGATATAAAAATAGATAATTTTAACAGAAAAGCATTTAAAAAAATAAATTCTTAAAAATAGCATTACATAGTAAGTGAATACAAAAATAGCAGAATCAAAGTATGACATATACTAATGGTATATGATCAAGGTTAAGAATCTTAGTTATCTTTTTAACTTCTGTAGTATTGTAGTATTTTTTTAAATTTAACACTCCTTTCCATTACAAATATTTAACATAGGAAGAAATTTCAGAGTAAAATTTGAAAAATTAAGCCTGAAAACAGAGTTGCTATACATCTGGATTTTGAGATTTGCCCAATTTATAACACTGTCCTGATCAAAAAATTTACCTAGTGTGTATCCAATTTGTCCATTTCAACCCAAAAATATTCAGATTTGTATTAAAAACAATCAGATAAAAATTGTAGGTGTTTAAGTGTCTGCAGGTGTAATGCATGCATACACCATCTGTTCTTACACGAGTTTTGCCTTTAGTAATTAATCTGTAGTGCATGCGTTGTTTTCTGTTGGCCCTGTGTAGTGCTATATGACTGCTTCGTAATCAATGAACCAATGTTTTCATGCAATCATTGTTGATGGATCAATGGTAAAATTGCCTGGCCATAGTCTAGCTTCATTTATTCCCCATCCTGTGGACACAATCTATATTTTTTATCTTATTTATCATGCATTTGGCCATGTCCACATTGAGAGCAGATGGATTTTCTAACAAAACTTTAGTTGAAACATAAAAGAAGTATGATCGATTCAATAGATAAAAAAAGTGTTCACTACTAGATATTCCAATAAAATCAGTTTAATTAGAATTATTTACTTATTATGAAGCTATTGCTCTCTAATGCTGGGTAGCCATTAAATTTTATCACAATGCTCCTGACAGTATTCTGATTTCTAGTTTCAAACTTATGATTAGTAATATTTAATAGTCAAAAATTTTAGTGGAATGTACCTCTAGAAATCAAACTGTATAAAGCCTGTTTTATAACTAATAGAATAAAGTTTATAAACAAAACCTCAGTGTCAAAGAATCTTGGCTATATGTACTTAAAAATTAGTATAAGTACTTAAAAATTATGAAAAATTAAACAAATTTAAAGCTTCCACTGAAACTCAAGTGTGCAACAATGTTGAACCAGAAGAAAATGTTAATGTTAGAGAGTAATCAAATTCTAAAGGAACCACCTTATAAGTAAACTTTCGATTTTTTAATATTGTCAAAAATCCATTTGTGAAGACAAAGCATTAAAAAAGGTATCTCAAAGTCAGATTTTCTAGCTCAGAATGACTTGAAGCAGGCTGTTATCCTAAAACAAATTCTCACCTCCAAAATACATTACATTAAAAGAGTAGAGAGGTTGTCTGTATATGCACAGACCTTACTTCTAAGAAATTAGAAGTGTTGAAATTGAAATTAGAAGAGGAAGTGATAGTAAGTAGGGAGAGAAAGAAAATAGGGAAAGATTGAAGGAAGATTAACAATTGAAAACAACAAAAGTAGCTGTTTAGTAGGTTAGGTGGATTTGGCTGGGCTGTGGTAGACTAAAAGGTATGGTAAAAAAACCCAGGTCTAGACATTTGGGCATTTGAATACCTCTTAAATGTTTTAAGAAAACTATTTATGAACTAAATTTTAAAAAAAAATACAAACTTTAGTTAAATATTACATGCCCTACTTACATCAAAATACACACAGAGCAATATATCAATTATAAACACTATCTTCTTTGAAGACAGCTTTCTACTGATCTGTATTCACCTTACAAATTTTTAAAAAATTTTGTTCTGTATATTCAGCATTTTTACTGGATTTGTTTTTATATAATTATTTACTTTATATAATTAATTATGCTGAATGTTTAAGTTTTAATTTATTAAAAATATAAAATAAATCCTATTCTACTATAGTTTCAAAATATACTTGGTAAATATAAAATGCCAATACCCAATATGACAACAGACAAATTTTTTAACATTTTAATTTAGTTTTTAAAAAAATGAGCAAACCCATCATCCCTCTCTATTAGATGAGAGATCTGAAAAGGTTGAATGCAGCATTCAGATTTAAAAATTATTCTATCCAAATAACACTGTCTATACTAAAATATTCTCAAACAAAATAAGTTTGATTTTGTATCAAATCACAAACATTTTAAGAATAATTAGCTCACAATGAATTATTGTAAACATGAAAATGACTTATGAAAATGTTTCCGAAACTGTAAAACCATCTCAATCACGACAAAATTTGAAACATGACTTGCATAGCAAAATGACAAGTTTATAATGAACTCATGACTAAGATATGCAAATTAATCAACTTAATCTAAAATACATTAAAAAGCTGATAAAGATAAATATTAAATCTAACAATATTGCATGCTTTAAATGATTCTTTATATATAAGAATATAAAATGATAAATTTCAGTATATTTGCATTATCTTTTCTTAAAAATGAATCATATGGAAAGTCAAAAAATTTTATCTAAATTAATATTGGCAAAGTTATTTATATACTCGTGTAAAAACCAAATTATTAAAAAAGCATTAAATTTGAAAGCTATTAAATACAATCTGATTTTAAAACACACACAAATCTAAATTTTTATATAAAATCAAAAGAAATTAACTTAATGTAATGAAATTGTGTTAAATATTACCCTTTGAATTTTAGAATATTTAGTTAAAAAGCACTTACCATCCTTAAGCACAATAATTATCCAAACTATCCTCAACTATCCTGAATACTCTCACTTAGCTTGGTACTATCACATTTAAGAGAAATGTTTCATGAATAGAGAAGAAAAATATAGGAGAGAGTGGGTCACCCTTTCTCCGACCATTCAGACACCGTTTCGTCGGTCATTAGGGCAGTTGGCACCCAACCAGCTCCTACAGGAGATTGGGTCACTAGTTCAACCTAAATTTTTAAAGATCAATGTATGACCATCTGCTCTCTCTTTTTTACAGAAAAAAATCTATTTAAACTTTACAATCAAAGATAAATCACTCAGAAAAATAATAGTAAAAATATTAAATATATATTAAGTAGTTTTGTACATCAAAACAATTAAAAGTAACAACATTTTTGTGAATCAACTGCAGATGGTCAAAAGTAGGTCTTCTGTTATCTGGATTCCAGAGCATATTCAGTTACAGGAACTTTATTGTATGATTTGTGAAACAACATTACATAACACCAAACTGATGACAAATCAAATTAGAAAATAATTGAGTGATATTTAACATTTTTAAAATGTAAATGTTATTCAAGCATTGTTATGTAAAAATAAACATTCAAAAGTTTTGAGTAAATCCTATTTTACACAATGGGTATTTATGAAAAGTTAATTATCAAAGAGTTCATAAACTTATAATAAATTACAACAATGACTTAGATTTAGAATAATGGTATTTAATATTTATTTATCTGGGGATAACTTAATTATGCATAATTGATTGCATTCTTTGATTTTCCTAGAATGTACTATAATTTTTAATATTTATTCACATTTTGCTATCATGTTTTAAATTTCATTTATACATTCTTAAAAACTATATACACCATCACTAAATTGTACTCTACTACTACTATTGGGAAATAATAGTAATTTTATATATGTAATTTTGTAGATGTGGGGTGGAAGATCTATCACTGCTGTTTTATTTCCTGTAATTTGACATTCTCAACACACAAACTTGCTCTATCATATTTAAAAAGTACTCCTTCCTTCCAGGCAAAAAACTTTCTGAAAAATTAATTTATAAATCATTATTTCAATACATTGGGCTCTTGGGATGTTTATATAAATTATTATAATTTTTAGAGAATCACTTAAAATCAAACAAATTTCAAAACCTTAGTCATATTTTGTAGAAATTGAACAAGACAATGAGCAATGTAGAAACTATATAAGAAACATTTTTTCATATGGCTCCAGCAAACTATGGGCTATATGACTGCCCTCAATTTTGTCCCTTACAACAACTGAACCTGACATGCAATGGGATTGGCTAGTACGGGTGAGGGACAAGAAACAAAACCAAAAGAAAAAAAATTTTAAAAATTCAGATCAAATTCAAACCCAGATCTTTCATATCAATAAGGAAATTCTTTACTACTCAACTTTATACAAGTTTTTGTTAGCTGCCATTTGAAACTGATAGTGAATCCAAAATTAGACTATAGAATTTAATGATAAAATATTTTTCAACATTTCAAAGTAAAAACAAAAATACTACTTTTGTGGAGTCAAAATGATTAAAACCAAATGAGAATTGAATGATCTTGAGAGAAGGGAAGTAGAAAAAAAAATTAATTTCTGCTTTGAGTTAATAGTATTGTAGAATACTATGTTTAAATAAGTTAAAATTTTCTGTTTTATATTTTGAGAATGTACAGAAATTACAAGAGATTGATCTAAGAAATCTGAAAGTACAAGGGAATCTTATGTTTTAACTATTTTTACTACTATATCAATACTCAAGTTTTAGTAAAATTTTCCCAAATCATTCTTCTAACATTATGCAGCATTTAAAAAAATTTTCCTCTGTACTTTAAAAAATTGCTTTAATATTTCTACATAAACTATAAAATTAGTGAATATTGATATATTCTGTCAGAAACAAAAATGTACTTAAGTAAATAAAGGTCCTCAAATTGTAAATTTATCATTTTGTTCAATAACACATCAAAGATCATTTCAAATTTAACATTAAATTCTAGATGATTTTGTTTTGATATCAATAATCATTTTTCACACTGATATTTAATTAAATAATTTATTGTTGTTTTGGTCTTGAGTGTGTGCATAAACGAAACTAAGTTTGTAAAATGCGCATTATTGAAATCAAAGACCAGTTAATAATTTAGTATAAAATTTAATACTTTAGCAGCGATATTTAATTAAATAATTTAATGTTGTTTTGGTCTTGAGTGTGTGCATAAACGAAACTAAGTTTGTAAAATGCGCATTATTGAAATCAAAGACTAGGTAAGTTCAATATTAGTTTCTTTATTAAACACTGTCAAAAGAATAAGTCAGTCATCAGGTCGATATCCACCTCTAGGGGTGGTCAATAGGATATTTTTGGGGTCGATAGTGAATAGATTTCGCGGGTCTTTTTCATTAAAAATTATTGACCCAATGGGTTATACGAAAGATCGGGATGCTGTAAATTTGAACACTAAGTAGAGTCGTGTATATGAAAATCGAATGTATATTATTGTCATATCATCACAATTTTTAATCATATTTTAATTTTAAAAAATCACGTGATTTTCGGTCACAACCGGACGTTCATATATCGTTTATAAATAGTTAATCGGGTCTCCGTCTCCTTAGCTTTCAATATCTGGTTTCAATTTTCATCCAGCTAACTCCCTTCTCGAGATTAACAAAAGACGGACAGACGGACGATAATGGGCATTAATAATAAATAAATAATTTTTTTAAAGCTATTAGGAAGAAAAGAAGAGGAAGGGGTCGATGAAAAAATCGAAGGATTTTCAAAAGTTTGGTGATCCTGATCTAAATGTTAAATTTCGTGTAATTTATATAAAAATTAAACCGTTTTATGTTGTATAAGTTCTAAAATATAATAACTTATTTACTATTCTTTTAATAATACTTTAAGTAATTTAATAGCTTAAGTTATATTTAACAAAAACTGTATCAATAAAACTAAAAATTGTGTGAGTAGCAGACAATTTTAAATAACACGAAACTATTGTCTAAAGCATGATTTAAGATGTATTTTTTATTTGTGTATTTGGTTTCTGTGTAACGCTTCAATAGGGGTAATTCTACATGATTTAACAGAATAATTGAATTAAAAAAAGAGAACCTATCAAGAAAATTATATACTCATTTTTCAAATAAAAATAATTTTTGCATTTATTAATAACCGAATGAATGCATTTAAATATAAAGAAAACGAGCAAAAAGTATTGTGACATTGTTGGTCACAATGCCAAGCTGCAATTTTTAATTTACTTAATTTAAAATATATGCTCTCCACCTCAAATTAATAGTGTTTTGTCCCTGTAAATCGTACTTTTGTAGAGAAAATTTTTGAATTGAAATCATGTGATTTCCGGTCTGTACTGAAAGTTTGTATATAGTTAATCGGGACCTTATGCCCTTAACCTTTCTATATCTGGTCTCGACTTTGAGGATAATTGTAATCCAAATACTTGATATTAGATTTAAAAATTACAATTCAAATAAAACAAAATATATTTATTATAAAAAAGTATTTCCGTAATTAAAAAATAAGATATTTAATAATCTTAAATAAAATGAATGTTTAAAATTAAGAAATATACGTATGAAAATTATCGATTACTTCTATCCTCAAGATCTTAATAGAATTAAGAAAATAAATATATGATATGATAAATAAAATATAATACAAGGTTAAGGTAAATTAACAAAAATGATTAAACGAATAATTCATATATAAAAGTCAATAAAATAATTTATGTTTGTAGCACGCTATTTGTAGATAAGACTGTGAAACCTCCCTATTTTAAAGGTAAGCTACGGAGTGCAGACCCTATAGTGTTTTAATATTTTGATATCTGTTCAGTAAATAGGGAGATAGCAGTATTAAAAATAAAAAAGTTAAATTATACGAACCTTTATTTGTAAAAATCCTACTCCAAAAAGTAAAAATCCCATTTTTTAAACACACCACAGATCCCTTAAACTAGTATCTGGATCTCACAGGGGTTCACGGACCACCTCATGGGAGAGATTGTTCTAATTATTTATCTTCATACAGGAACCACAGATTCATCATCATCGTCGAATGATTCCTCATAGTATATTTTTAAAATTAAATAAGGAAAGAGTTAATTAAGCTTATATTCTATCATATTCATCATCAGCATCAACTTTAAGGGTTTGTTCTAATCCCTATTCATTTGACGAATATGTCAGAATGAAATTGTAATTCACCTTTTTGCATTAATTTATTAAAAATACAAAGTTTTAGAGGTCGGATTCGAGTCCCGATCAAGTCAAACTTTTACGAATGACAGACCTTACTTGCCATCCGACAGTGCCTATGGAAACTAGCTCCTATTTAAGTGTTAACTGTATACTAACTTCCGATCTAGACCGGAAGTCACGTGATTTCAATTCAAAAATTTGTCCCAGGAGGAGTTACATAGATAACCGGCACGATTCTATTGTTATCGGGAAAAGTATGATTTACAGGGACAAGACATTACTAATTTGAAATGGAGAGCATATATTTTAAATAAAATAAATTAAAATTTATTATTAAAACTTGTACCCCGGAATTGTGATTATGCCACAATAATTTTTGCATTAAATTACGTTAATCAGTAATTAAATTTTGCGATAAAACTGTAATTTCGTACTAGCAAATTCGGGTAATTTCGGATATTTCTGTATCAATTTTATACCTATTTTGAGAAGGAAAACTGTTATAAACTTCTGAAAAGTTGCAGTAAGATGCCGATAAAAGTGAAGAGTTGGCAGAGATAACTGACAAGTTGGATCATTACTCGAGATCTTCGAGATTTAAACCATTCAAAGTAAAAAAAATAACGAAAAAGTAAAGAAAAATACACGCAAATTGATAAAATATTATTGAATAAATACACGCAAATTGATAAAATATTTATTGAAGTATCATATAATAAAATTACACTAAAATAAAGTCGAGTTTTCGCAACGTTTTTCTAGGGTAGCAGCTCAAGTACAGGTTAAAAAAATGGAATTTTAAGGAATTTTTTAAAATAAATTAGGCATTTTATAAAAATTTGTAAACACGACTTCACTCAATTATTAAATTTCGTAACATAACTACAACTATTTGCCGTATATTTAAATAGAGTTAGTAAATCGATTGATTTTAAGTCTAAGGATTAAGAGTGAAATGATTAATGAGGAAGAGAAACTTTTCTTGAATCTTAATAAATATGACATGAAAAATTGC